CAATCAAGTGTGTAGATTTTAAAGTTTGATGTTGCATCACCAACGTGGACACCGTTTGTTGGTTGTGTGTTTATCATATGATTAAAGGCTTTTGTATGAACACTTGAGACAATTGTGTTTGGATCTGAAAAAGAACGCGATGACTTAGCGATAGAAAAGTAGGCGCGCGCATACCATAGCCAACTTGTTCCATTACATCGATTTCACCATTGTCGGGCCAATACTGGCTTCCATAGCTCTGACTTTCGGGAAGCTGAATAGAAGAGAATGAAAACAGTATGTCATCCCGAGGAAATGTCGTTCGACTCTTACCATCCATATGGCGGGCCAGAGGCCGCGACCTGTTGGTATCTTTGCTCGTACTTGCAGACGACCATACGTCCATTTGGCTTTACTTTTCAATCGTGCTGATGTAAATCGTCTATTGCCCCACCCCTCTTTACGTGCTTCGATAATCAAACGTCCATTGGCACTGCCTGGAAATTTTTCACATCTGGCATTTTCTCGACGGTCTGTTGTATAATACTGTTCTTCGTTGTTACCCCAACCACCACCGCCATCGTCGAAGTCCCATTTGCTACGGTCGACACCACCATCCCAGTCAAAATTATCTTCCCAAACTCGAACCCATGCAGATTCGCACAGGGCGTAGCACAAAATCAGTAGTATAACGCGAAACATACTTCTCTCGAGTGAGTTAATAAATGAAAAGAAAATCTCTCACAAAATATATATTAAGATCGAATGTCTACGTATCGAAAGTAAGACTTTAATCTCAAATAATTGTGATATTAACGACACAATACTTTCTTATATTTTCACAACTGTTCTTTTATTATGTTGATATTGACTATTTCCCACTAAGATAAAACTAACATAAAAATGAGTCATCGTTTGACGAGGGTTTATATGACACTATGGTTTATATAGAAATAGTCGGTCGTGGGCTATTTTCCGGCGCTAGAAATTCCGCCAAAATTTTAGTAAATTTTCGCCTCCGCCCAAAGTATGAAATTTATTCTAAATCATTTTTAACTTAGAAAAATAGTATTTTTATGATGCTACAAATTAGAAAAACATACTAATACGAGAAAAA